GCCCACACCTTTCAAGACCAAACAGCACCAGTGGAAGCCAAAAACAGTGGGTACGGCTGGAGGAGGAGCAGTACGTCTCAGTTTTTCAACTTCTTTGCATCATTGGTCCAGACTTACTGGATCATTACCAGTGTCTCGCATTCTGTGTACAGTCCTAGACACATTTATGTTTTTAATTATAAGGGCTCCATTGTCTCATAAAACTTTATGTTACAAAATAGGACAGACACTGCCGCATTCTCAAATTTGGGGAGCAGCTGGGTAAAATTTTCTTTCCTCCCCTCTGTAATTAGCTTGAGTGTTTTTCCAAATAGGCAGATCAGCAACGGGTCTCACTGGGCAATAGATGGCATCACCTGGGGCTGGACAAGCAGTTATAACCAACATGGAGTTCACTGGTGACCGGGACCAAAGCTGTTTCTACAGAGTGATGGGAGTGCAACCCTGGATGGAGAGAATGCAAAAGAGAACCAGAAGAGCCTAAATGGAGACGGAGGGTAGAGAGAAAAGCAGACGCTTGAGCAGGAAGAGATCATCGCTGAAGCATTCTCTCTCAGCACGAGAATAGGGTTAAGATCTGGTGCACAGCCGGCGCCGCGGCTCACTAGGCTAATCCTCCGCCTTGCGGCGCCAGCACACCAGGTTCTAGTCCCGGTCGGGGCGCCGGATTCTGTCCCGGTTGCCCCTCTTCCAGGCCAGCTCTCTGCTGTGACCAGGGAGTGCAGTGGAGGATGGCCCAAGTCCTTGGGCCCTGCACCCCATGGGAGACCAGGAGAAGTACCTGGCTTCTGCCTTCGGATCAGCGCTGTGCGCCGGCTGCAGCGCCGGCTGCAGCGCACCGGCCACAGCGGCCACTGGAGGGTGAACCAACGGCAAAGGAAGACCTTTCTCTCTGTCTCTCTCTCTCTCTCTGTCCACTCTGCCTGTCAAAAAAAAAAAAAAAAAAAAAGAGATCTAGTGCATAAGAGGAGTGCCCTTGGGCAGTTCACTCACCCTAACCACACAGCACGTGCAGAGAGGAGACTCCAAACATTATCTTCAAATTACTTCAATTTTCTTGGTGAAATAGAAAGTAAAGGATTCAGCTGAGATGAGGATGGAGGGAAAATATATGAAATTGTTTCCTAATTGACTGGCAGAATGAGTGGCTCAGGGAAACCACCCGGAGAAGTGACCCCACAGGCTCACTCTGCTGTCACTGAAGCTTCAGGTTCTGGTTGGGTTTGTCACGGGGTGTTGAATTGCTGCTGCTGCACGCGGGAGGGAACTCTGCGGGTGCTGGATTTGATCTCACTGTCCTTCAACTGTTAAATAGGCTGTACAACAGCAATATTTTCTTTTTTGTTTTTAAAGATTTATTTTATTTATTTGAAAGACAGAGTTATACAGAGAGGTAGAGACAGACAGAGAGGTCTTCCATCCGCTGGTTTACTCCCCAGATGACCGCAACGGGCCGGAGTTGTGCAATTTAAAACTTGTAAATGCCATTTCTGGAATACATTTATAATACATAATATAAATATATAATATATAAATATCATATATAATATAAGCATATATGATATTTATATATTATATATTTCTGGAATATTATATTGATGGACTCATGTATAGTATCACTGTACCCTGGGATTTGAATCGTTTTTCCCCCGGGGCATTCACACTGTATACACTCCCCACCTGTTAGTCACCCAGTTGCTGTCTCAACTATCAGACTGACTGTTGTGGTGACTAATCAAGTCACCCCAGTGTTACTTAATAGTGGCCTCAAGTGCAAGAATAACAACGCTGGCAACTCAGAAATACCCAGGAGAGGAAATGCTCGCTCTAAGTGAAAAAGTGAGTTCTTGACTTCATAAGAGAAGAAACCCTGCACTGAGGATGTTAAGATCTATGAATCGGCCAGCACCGTGGCTCAGTAGGCTAATCTTCTGCTTGCGGCGCGGGTACCCCGGGTTCTAGTCCTGGTTGCGGCACCAGATTCTATCCCGGTTGCTCCTCTTCCAGTCCAGCTCTCTGCTGTGGCCCGGGAAGGCAGTGGAAGATGGCCCAAGTCTTTGGGCCCTGCACCTGCATGGGAGACTGGGAGGAAGCACCTGGCTCCTGGCTTCGGATTGGTGCAGAGTGCTGGCCGTAGCGGCCATTTGGGAGGTGAACCAATGGAAGGAAGACCTTTCTCTCTGTCTCTCTCTCTCTCACTAACTCTGCCTGTCAAAAAAAATTGGAGGGTGAACCAACGGCAAAGGAAGACCTTTCTCTCTGTCTCTCTCTCTCACTGTCCACTCAGCCTGTCAAAAAAAAAAAAAAAAAAAAAAAGGCAAGCCTGGCTCCTTCAGCTCACCCTGGCTTCCCACCTCATCATGTGCTCTCTCCCTCTCACACACGCCCTTGCCACAATGCCATTTGCCATGCTGTGATGCAGCCCGAGGGCCCTCACCGGAGGCCAAACAGATGGGCCTGCCTGAGCTGGGACTTGCAGCCTCCCAAACTGGGAGCTAACTGAACCTGGTTCCCTTATTTAACAAGCTCGGCCTCAGGTGTTCCGTTAGAGTAACAGGAAACAGACGCCATCCCAGCCCTTCCCTCTCCCCACCAGCGCCGGCCCTCCCATGCTTCCCTCTCCCACTCCCACATGGACCGCAGAAGCTGCTCCCTCCCCCATACCGTGGCTCCTCTGTCCCCTTCTGTTGGGTCTGTCTCAGAAATGTCTAGTTTCTCTTCCAAGACCGACCCCAAAGCTAACTCCTGCCTGCTCCCCCTCGCCTGCAGTTTTGTTCCTTCCCTGACCCCTTCAGAGTCTTCCTTTCGCACATGCACAGCAGGTGCCCTGTAGGGCTCTCACCCCCACAGCTTCCTCATTTCTCCTCTCCTGTCCTTGCCACTTCCCTGGTGAGCGCTCCACATGGCCCTCCTCCTCACCATCTGCTCCTTCTCAGCCTGATCCCACCCTTCCCGCTCCGGCAACTGCCCTGCAGAAAGGCGTCTGACTTTCCGACAGCTGACCAAGGGTGTTTCTCAGTCCTTTTCCGTGATGAGAGCAGCATTGCATGAAGGGGAACCCAGGACTCAAGCAATGCCATGAATCCGAAGAAGGCTGAGGGCATTGGATTAAGAGTGCAGGATTTTTCACGGCCCCGCATCCCCTCCTCTTTCTCTCTTCCTAGCAACACTCAACAGTGGACACTTCTGTGCCCTGTCCATGGTTCTCTGTCTTCAGCGCTGGCCTTTCTTTGACCCCCAGGAACCAGCAGAGCTCTGGTTGTGTTAATAATTTATTGTTTAGTTTCTGAGCAGCCTGAACAACTTGCCTGGCTTCCACATGTTCTCCTTCTCTGTCATCAAAACGCTGGGACTTGATTAAATAGGTCACACCAAGTTTGAGGCTCCTCACCCTGTTAAGTCCTACCACTGCGTGGTACTGGGTTTATCACCTGCTGCCTCCAGGTGGTGGGGGGCTTTCCTGCCACACGTGTGGAAAGGAATGGACCCTGCCTTCCTGGAGCCAGTGCCTAGTATCAGTAAACACACGGGTGAGTGGAAACTCCCATCATGGCTTCCAAGAGAATAGAATGCAAGAGGAGATTACTTCCGTGTCTCACCTGCCAGTGATGGGGCTCCCTCTCTCCCTGCCCGTCCTCCAGCTGGGCATTGTGCGATCTGTTTCCTTTGCTTGGCCATCACAATGACAGTGTCAGAAGATGGACTACACTGTCCCCACTAGCACCTAAATCATTCAACTGACACTTTTTCTTATCAACCACCATTTCATCAACATGGGCATGATTTAAGCCTTAAAATTTAATTTGTGTAAATTGTGTGGATTGAGCTACTTGTGTACAAAGAAACATGGGGTTGGAGGGGTGCAGCTTTGTGGCACAGTGGGTTAAGGTGCCACTTGTGACCCCGGCTCAAGTCCTAGATGCTCTGTTTCCAATCCAGCTTCCAGCTTATGTGCCTGGAAAGGCAGTGGGTGATGGCCCAAGTGCTTGTAATCCTGGCCCCCATGTGGAAGACCAGGATGGAATTCCTGGCTCTGGTCTGCTCAGCCCCTTCAAGTAAATAAATAAATTTTAACAAAAAGAATCCCAGGAAGATTGTAATATCCATTTCAATGTTTTCACTGTGAGTAAGCCATTCAAACTTGATCCCTCTCAAAGTAGTGACAAAATATGTTGCTTTTTCTTTTGATCAAGATTCCACTTCACCCTTTAGTCAGCTGGGGAATTCCTCAAGGTGTCAGCACTGGGAGTAGGTCCCCTTCCAGAGTACATCATTCTTTCAATCTTTAGGTACTAGGGACTATACAGACGCCCACATTTCCCTTTGTGCAATGGCCAGTAGGAAGCTCATGATCAAATTTGCAGCCTGATACCAGTAACAATATGTGTGTGTGTTAGGGCAGGGGGGACTAAGGCCTGCATTTTATACCACACCTTGCCCTTGGTGTTGTTTTATTTTTTCTACCTTTTCCCAATCCTTTTTAGTTGGTCATTTCCTCATTTATTTGATTGTGCTTTTAACCTTTATACTAATTGTAATTATATAAGCCACCACAAATCATACTAAGAATACAATCCAGACTCTTCAGTATGGCAAAAAAGCAACCTCTGTCTCGGGTGGTCAGCTTTCTAAATGTGCCTTCCACCCTCCTTCCTCCCGTTCACACGGCTCCTTCTCCCCACCAAGCACATCTCCACCCCACGGCCTTTGCACATGCTGTTCCTCTTGCTGCAATGCTCTCCCGACACAAGCATTCTTCACTCACTCCTTCCACGCACGCCTCCGCTCCAGTCCCAAATACTTCTCAGGCCCTCAAAGTTAAAAATACTTCACAGTGGGCAGCCTGAGGGAGTGGCTCTCAGCATAGACTCGGGGCCCAGGCTGGGCTCATAGTCCAGCTTCACCACTCACCAGTGTGTGGCCTTGGGCAAATTATTACAGCGCTATGTGTTTAGTTTCTTTACCTGTAAGTGAAAAACATGGCAAATGGTACCTGGCGCAAAGTGAGTAAGAGCCACATACTCCATTCATAATGAAGTTAAGTGCTGCTTTCGTCTGTCCCCTGCTTGGCCTGTTTTGTGCAGGGCTGCGTCACCAGCTGCAAGAGTGGTGCTCCCAGTATGGGAGACTCCCAAGGCTCTGTTGACTAAATCGCCTCTCGGAATAAGGTGGGGGCATTAAAAGAGAAATACAGGCGTTTTTTAAACCGGGAATTAGGGAGAAACAGCACTGGAGTATGACTGGTTAGACCGAGATGTCAGTGCCTGTCTTGCCAACCAGGAGTCAGTTACAATCAGCAAAAGGTCATCTACAGAGCTGGAATGGGACAAATACCCTTTGCTCCAGAGGTGTAGGACATATGCATTCAGGATTTCACACGCCTGACACAGGAGAAAGTGAAGCCGTGCTGATGAAATACTTGTAAGTGCTGGACTCTGGGAATATGGAGACGGAAGGCTTGATTCTTTTTTTTTTTTTTTTTTACAGGCAGAGTTAGACAGTGAGAGAGAGAGACAGAGAGAAAGTCTTCCTTCTGTTGGTTCACCCACTAAATGGCCGCTGTAGCCGGCGCACTGCGCTGATCCGCAGCCAGGAGCCAGGTGCTTCCTCCTGGTCTCCCACGCGGGTGCAGGACCCAAGTACTTGAGCCATCCTCCACTGCCTTCCTGGGCTATAGCAGAGAGCTGGACTGGAAGAGGGGCAACTGGGACAGAATCCAGCACCCCAACCGGGACTAGAACCCGGGGTACTGGCGCCACAGGCAGAGGATTAGCCTAGTGAGCTGCAGCGCTGGCCTGAAGGCTTGATTCTCACTCTGAAGTCCCTGACAAAGTCTCAAGGGGGACAGAAAGCAAACAGTGCCGACAGAGTGGTGAGCCTCTGGTGGGGGTCAGTGCAGATGGGAGACCCGGCTGGGGTAAGCCTGCCACTGACACTGGAGGATGCGGTGGACCTGTCTGAGAGTGACAGGGAGATGATGTGGGCATTTCAGGGGGGATGGCGGCAGGTGCACAAGAGGAAACAGCACATGAAGGTGCAGGACAGGCAGGCAGGACAGGCAGGCGAGGTCCTCCAGGGCGATGCCACACTTCCCTCCTCACACTCCCAGTCCTCTGTAAACCTGGCTACATGTGGGCTGCTGCCAGGCCCGAGATAGCCGTTGCTGCCTTCAGAGTGCTGCTGGCCTGCTGGTGTCAACATTGCCTGCTAAGTCCATCGCTGGAGAGCAGACAGCAGCAGCATCCTCAGAGGGAACATGGCCCATCACCCGAGTCAGCGGATGCAGCCAAGCCCCTTCTGGACCAGGGTTCCCTGAAGTCCCCAGTGCCCGTGGAGAGGGCTGAAGAGACGGCACAGGCAGGAGTGAGGAGCAGGCCCACTCTTTGAGACAACTCGAGCCTGTTCCTTTGCTCCAAATTATTTCTCCTCTGCCTTCTCCCATCATGGCTGATAGATGGCACTGATGACCCAAGTCCTCACCCATCTCTGTGACCAGCTGGCCCTTCACCGTGGCATTGGGGGTACGGTTTGTATCCCCATTTCTGGGCTCTGGCTTGACCATGGGGCTAGCTTTGGCCAATAGGGTGTGCTGGAGGTGCTGGCCTGTAGGTTTGAGTCTCTCCCTCCTGGAAACCTCCCTCTCCTGCCAGGCCAAGCCTGGGCCAGCCCCTTGGAGGACAGAAAACCATGTAGGCAACTGCGGAGTCCTTCTTGCTGGACTGCACTAGAGTAGTGTGTCCCAGGCTGAGCATCTCAGCTCAGGGGGCACCAAGTCACAACCACCAACAGGACTACATCCCCAACCTGAGGCTGGGGAGAGATCCTGGGTGGATAGGGATAAAGGACTCAGAATTCAGAGGGTTTGCTACTCAAAATAGTTAATACACATGGCAATGTTCTCTCTTCTTCCCTTTGTCCCTTCTCCTCTATAAAGGGTTAAGGAATCACAAACTTGGTGAACATATTAGGGAGACGGCTTGAGTTACCATTTGGGGGCCTCTTTTGTCTACTCTTTCATCGTAGGATGTAAGATTTCAGTTTATATGAGTACTAACTGGCCCAAGGAGACACCATTTGTGCTGTGAGATGTGTTTTCCATTCGAATAAGCCATTTTCCCTCTTACCCACAGCATGACTCCTCTGCACTCCCAGGGCTCAAGGTCATTGCTAATTGGCATGGCTGCTCACGTCTTGTCTGGGCAGCGCCTCGCAGGCGAGCTTTGCAAAGTGGAGGACCTAGGGGGACTGGCAGAATTCTGATCACGGCTGTAGATAATTTCACTGGCTCGCCACGGGCCTTGTTTGCTGGTGATAAAATCAAGGATGGGAGCTCAGAAACCCAACTGGCTGCAGAGTTGATGTGTGGCCCGATTGCCTTGATGAGAAATCTGGGAGTTGTAAAGTGAGCTTGCTCTTTAACAGGCGCTCTGTGCCTGTCTGGCTCCTCGTCCAGAGATGGGGCAAAATCTATTAGTGAGAGCCACACCGCTCGCGCCTCATAGCATCAGCCGTCCGGGAGAAGACCTGCCCATTGCTTTTCTGATCCTCTAATTGGAACTGCTGACTGACTGTTAGGCACCTGAATGGCTGAAAATGGGGTTTCTGGGAGCTCGGGCACCAAAGCATTTTAGAGGGCAGCGGTGGTGTCAGTCACGCGATGTGCAGCTCAATTCTGATGGCTGTGGGTGGCTGCCAGGAGCAGCTGGCCTGGAAGATGTCTGCACAAAGACTGCTGAATGGCAGCGACTCCTGACTGCACTCACACTGCTGGCTCCCGCGGACTCCAGGGCTGTGTGTGAGGTCAGTTGGTTAAGAGTCAGGGTTGGTTTTCTGGACTTCACCAGCTCAGGGAAACACAGAAAGTCTTCTGGAAGAGTTCTTTGGCTGTAGATTCAAGGGCAGGACATGGGGCTACCCCTACACTTGACACAAAAAACAGCTCAGACACGATTGGTTGGTTCCAGTTCATCACCCTCATGGGTCTCCAGATGACTGCAGGTGTGTGGGCCATCTTTTTGGCTAACGGTTTGGTAGCTGAAGTCCGCACTCTCAACACTTGCTGTTGAATTTAGCCATGTCCTGGTAAGCCTGAGCCTCCTGCTCCTTGTAAGTGACCCTGCTGCTCAGTCGCCACGAGAGACTCTATTTGCGTGAGTAGAGATGGGGAATAGCTTGAGAGGAAGCCAGGTGACCCCGTGCTGTATTTCAAGAAGGCATTCCATTCAACTCATCAGACTTTGCAATGGGTGCCTACCACGTGCGTGGGAATGCAAGAGGGAGTATGGTGGGGCTCCTGCTCTCATGTTGCTCAAGAGGCACCCAGCTCTTCCCTTTCTCCCTGCACAGAACTCAGCGCCTCTCCTCTTCCTGGCTGTACGGCTTCTCCAACTACCTGCAGGCTTGGGGAGGCAGCTCTTCCTTCCTCCAGAAATGAGGTGGGAGACTCTTCTTAGATATCTATGAAAATGAAACTTCTCAGATGTTGTTGGTTTTGTATCCTATCACATTCCAAAATGGATAAAAATTATGAATTATAGCTTATAAATGCAAAGGCTACAAGGGAAAATAAAGGTGGGAAGAAACATCCAATCTGTGCCATGAAGGCTTAAACTAGATAAGGGGAGGAAAAATTGGCTCAGAGCATCTGTAACTCCTAGTGTAAGCAACAAACCTGGACAGGCACTGGGTCCATATTGTTCACAGGGTAAAAGCAGTAAGTTACCCTAAAGAAATAGCTATTCTTGAGTATGGAGAAATTTCTCTCATTGGCCCTTAGAATGAGAACGGTGTGCAATAGTATAACATACTGTATTCTTTGAGTTTCCAGGCTAGTTAAGGGTTTTTAAGCCTGTTGCCTAGTTCATTTGGTTTTTATGCTTGGTTTTCCCAAAGAGAATGCTAATCTGGGACTGCTACAGTTCCAGCATTCTGCATTTCACATTCAAATAAATACCAGACTAAGGGACAACTCCAAGTCTGCATCAGGAAGGAGAAGCAACAGTTACCCCGCCCTCCCAGAACTGGGTATAAGTGGACGCTTTGGTAACACTGTGAGACGGGGGTCCCTTTCAGTTCATTTTATTTCCCCCTCTAGTTCAAGCACAAAGTCAAGGTTTCTGACTCTGAGGAAAGGTGGTGTAGACTCCCACTCTCCTGTTCTTCTTCCCTACCCCGACTCCCACCAACTAAATGCCCTGGGAAGAATTCAACAATCCTGAGAGGATTCTAAAATATGGGAGAAAACAAATGTGGATCCTAGACTTGAACAAGGAAATCACGATGACTTCTCTGGGTTTCTTTTTTTTTTGACAGGCAGAGTGGACAATGAGAGAGAGAGACAGAGAGAAAGGTCTTCCTTTTTCTGTTGGTTCACCCCCCACTGGCCACCACAGCTGGCCAGTATCCGAAGCCAGGAGCCAGGTGCTTCCTCCTGGTCTCCCATGCAGGTGCAGGGCCCAAGCACTTGGGCCATCCTCCACTGCACTCCCGGGCCACAGCACAGAGCTGGACAGGAAGAGGAGCAACCGGGACAGAATCCAGCGCCCTGACCAGGACTAGAACCCGGTGCCAGCGCCACAGGCGGAAGATTAGCCTTTTGAGCCACAGTGCCAGCCTGGGTTTCTTTTTGTCTCCCATGGACCCCAGACTGGTTTCTAGAGAGGATGGCAAGCTGGAACCACTGGCATGCAGAGCAAAACCAAAAAAAAAAAAAAAAAAGAAGAAGAAGAAAATCATAAGCACTGTAGCCAAGCAATGAGAAAGGGGACTAAGAAAAGACTCGTGTCTATTGACAATACTGGGCCACAGCAGCCTGTAGCAGTGGCAAGATGAGAACCCAGGCAGCCCAACCAGTCCCCACACCACCATGCAACAGCAGCATCAAGTCTATCTACCTGCAGGTGACACAACCTCAGAACCCGAGAAGGCCAATACCTCCACCTCCCCACACTGCCCTCTGCCCTCGCACTGGCGGCTCCCAAAGCTCAGTCCCTTTCTCAGTAGCAGACAACAACCCAGGCCTGGTGTCTCTAAGCCCCTTCTCCAACAGCAGAAGGTTAAGCAGGCCCAGGAGCAGTGGCAGAGGGCCAGCTAGACCACCATCACTCTGGCTCTCCATCCAGCAGCAAAAGTGGCCCAGGCAGGTACTTCCCTCCTTCTGCGGAACTGACAGAAACCAAGTGGGAACTTCACTAAAGTCACAGTTCATTCTTTCACCCATTCACTCGCTCACTCACTTAGCACCTATGTGCTGGACACCACTCCAGGCACCGGGGACACAGCAGTGGGTAAAATAAAGAGCCCGGTTTATAGTTCTACACAATGTAGAAAGCATAATATACTGAACAGCATAATGCCTCCCCTTCTCCCCCACCCACTGCAAAGGACTCTGAAATCTAACAGGGGAAAGAGCAGAGCTAGGATATTTCAAAAAGTTCTTGGAAAAATAAATTAAAGCATAATATGAATTTTCATGACCTTTTTGAAGACCCCCTGTATATCCAGCACAACGTGTGACAGAACTGAGGAAAAGACAATGTTTGGGAAACAGGTCAAATGAGTGGCAGAAGGGACCTGTGTTATGGTGCACTAGGTTAAGCCACCGCTTGCAATGCTGGCACCTGCTATCAGAAAGCCAGTTCAAGTCCTGGCTGCACTGCTTCTGATCCAGCTTCCTGCAAACACGCTTGGGAAGGCAGTGGATAATGGCACCTGCCACCCGTGTGGGAGACCTGGATGGGGTTCCCGGCTTCTGGCTTCTGCCTGGCCCAGCCCTGGCTATTGTGGCATTTGGGGAATGAACCAGTGGACTGAAGATCTCTGTCTCTACTTCCCTCTCTCTGACACTCTGCCTTTCAAATCAATCAATCAATCAATCTTTTTTTAAGAAGGAGTGGCAGAAGAACTTTTGTTAATAGGCTGAGTTGGGATTGGGAGGATGGGAATGGGTGGATGATTATGGTAGAGAAAGGAGGTGGCATTAGGGACAAGGGGGAAGGAAGAACAGCAATGACTGGGGCCCCACCCTTGCAAGTGGACTAATGCAAGCCCAGTCACTTGGGAGAAGTTAGTGAGAAATATCCACGGCAGATGCTTGCAGGGTGCCAGGGGCTTTACATGGATGATTGTATTCAATCATTGCAACATCCAGAGAAAAAATATAGAAGTTGCTAGTTCAAGGAGCCGGCGCTGTGGCACAGCAGGTTAATGCCCTGGCCTGAAGTGCCGGCATCCCATATGGGTGCCGGTTCTAGTCCCGGCTGCTCCTCTTCCAATCCAGCTCTCTGCTGTGGCCTGGGAAAGCAGTAGAAGATGCCCCAAGTCCTTGGGCCCCTGCACCCACTTGGGAGACCCAGAAGAAGCTCCTGGCTCCTGGCTTCGGATCAGCGTAAGTCCAGCTGTTGCGGCCATCTGGGGAGTGAACCAGCAGATGGAAGACCTCTCTCTCTGTCTCTACCTCTCTCTGTAACTCTTCTTTCAAATAAAAAAAAAAGAAGTTACTAGTTCACAAAATGGAAATTTAGGCCCAAGAAGTTAAGCAACTTGGACAAGTTTACACAGCAATAAGCAGTAACCCTGAGATCCGAACCCACTTGGCATTCTTTTTCTGGCAAATTTCCTTTTGACTTCACCTCTGTTCTCACAGTCCACGCTCGTGCCATCGGTCAGCTGGCTGTTTGCTGGGTGGCTTCCAAGCTCGGAGATTTCCTCCTCGTTTACTTTGGCTTCAGTAACATATGCACATGGCCATGACCAGACCACATTAGCACCTTTTCCTTGGATATCCCTCCTTAGAAATAAAACCCAGCACACCCAAGGGCTCAGCAAAAGCTTCTGCTTTCTCTTCTACCCTGGAAGCATTAACTGGAGTGTAGGATGGGTGCAGGTGACGAGAGAGTGAGGAATCCAAGATGGTTCTGACACGATTGAAGTGAATGGGCCGGTAGAGTGGTGGGTTTATTGTGGGATACAGGGCCCCTAGGAAGGGGTGATGGTTTGTGGGTGGGTAAGTTAGATGTGAGAGGGTGGTAAGCTGTCCAAGCAGAAACGGACTGGGAGCAGCACTGAGGAGGCTCTGTGCCACTCAAGGTTTTCTGTCACTTTGCCATGGTTGGATCCTGCCAAGCAAACTGAGTGCTGGTCTAAGTGGATCTCTGAGAATGGAGAGTGATATTAGAAGGGAATTTACAAAAAAAGTGTGGGAGAGGCAGGTTATACAGGTGCATGACTTAATCTAGAAGTGTTTTGCATCTGGTTTCTACAAGCTTCTGGCCGGTACTTTTGTGGTGAGCCTTGTATCACACTGCAGAAATGGCTGCCACGATACACCCCTAAAGGGACCCCTGAGTGTTTTCCTACCCTGCATAGGAAGCAGCCCTACAGTATCTCCAGCAAGGAAGAATCCTGGGGATGCTCTCGGAGGCTCCTCCTCGCTGTGTCCTGGGAGCTCTCCTAGCCCTCGTCCCTCTCCCTGCCTGGACGTGACCATAATCCCTTCCATCCCCCAACATAAAGGAAGACTGTAGCTGAACCCACTCCCATCGGATTTGTCACTTAGCTAGCTAACGTGCTGGGTCAGTCATACTTTCTTCCACTCTAACCTGTTATTGGGTGCTATGAAAATTAATGTTTAGGTAGTAAAATTAATTCCTTAGCAACCAGATGAGTGTACATTATCTGTAACACAACCATACCAAGGTATTTCAGAAAATCTACCAAGTGATGATAAAGTATCTACTCATCACAGGTTAATAAACTGATAGTATTGGACATTAATTTATTTTCATATAAATGCAGTGGTTACCAGTTATCAAGATTTATTTCCCAAATTTAGTCTTGTGTGCTTCAGTTGCAAAGTTGCAACATAAAAGTTTTTATCTTTATAGCTATGACTGGTGTCATATTTATATTCATGCTACTGCACCAACACTTTAACAACGGAGTAGCAAAATAAATTACATAACTTTAAAGACCATCTATGTTTCCTTCCAGGACAAGTATACAGTTATATTACAACCTTGTTTCTGTAATAGATTGACTACAGTAGAAAAGAATCCAGTTGTATTCGGCCACTGTCTCCCTTTTTACTTGTAGTACACAAATATTACTTGTTTCCTTTCTTATTGCTTTAAAAATAACCATGATATTAAATAGTAAGGAATGATGGATGAAAGTATGTGTTTCACATATTGTTCACCCAAGAGTTAACATTTTATTCACATTTATTGAAATAGTTTACATTTTAATATCTCCCTCCCCACATTTGCTGAAGAGTGAGGCCTGACATCCTGTAATATAATTATTGGTAGTGATAATATAATACAACCAGAGGGACTCGGATATGAAAGAGCTTTGTGGTCTGCTGAAAGCCACTTAATCTTCTAAGCATTAATTTCTTCATCTATTAATGGAGATATTATATTCCTCTTGTCTATGTCATAAAGGATGAATGAAATAGTTTGTGTAAATCATTAATATTTAGAGTAACTGCAAAAATAGGAAGTACTTAATAAATGTCGATCAGATTTATAATTCTTATTTTAAAAAATTACAAACCAAGCTCTTTTCCCTATAAGCCACCTAAAAAAATTTTTTTTAGTAAGTTCAGCAGTTAGTTTCAAATTTTTTTCTAACACAGAGGTCAACTAAAGGAAAGACTTAGAGCCCCTGCAAGTTGTGTTCATGAGATACACTTGGAGGCAGGCAGGTCTGGAATAGCAATCTTTGGTCACCACATTCATAGATGAGAAATGGAGGCAAAGTCACTGTGGACTTTGTCCAAGATCACAAAGTGAAAGGCAGAGTTAACACTGGAGTTGAGGTCCCTTGACTCCCAGGTCAGTATCTTTCAGTATCAATTAAGCCCTTGCTGCTCGTTTAATTTGAACCCTGATGTTTTCCTTACTTCTTACATAAACTACTAGGATTTATGTTCATGAACATAGAAAACTCTCTGAAAATGGTAGCTGTATTCTGTATGTTAATATATGCTATGTATTGTCAACACTCAATGGCTGTATTTCTATATTAAACGACATTATATATCTTTTTGAAGTTCCAGGAAAAATTATTCTATTTTCTGATAATGCTAAATACTCTTTGCTGCTGCCAAAGGACAGGGGAAACCACACACAAACAAAACAAAACAGATGGATACAGTCAGCTTCTTCATTTCATCCCGCAGGATCTAGATAAAAGCAGTCGCTAATTTCTAATAAATTAAACGTTTTCTCCTTTTATTTTCACAGAGCTCCTGACCCCCCTCGTTGATCCCGAGTTTCCCTTCCAGTGTTATTTACTGCCATCTGTGCATCGAGGCTACTTGGGAAAACTCGGGGAGCCGTGCTGGGAGTGCCGAGGGACACGTAATCTGCTTGCGTGGAGGGCAGGCTGCGCTCTTGGTGTGCCAGTGGTTCCCCTTCTGTGTCCCCTTCGTTTCTGGAAGCCAGTAGAACTCTAACTTTAGACACTGTTTATGTTAGAGTTCTGTTTCTACGTGGCAGAGTGACAGGGTCCTTTTAGCAAAGGTTGAGGAATAGGAGAGGATTCTGAGTAACAAAGATCTCCCGGCCCTTGAATATACCTGCTACCCATCTGCAGATTCAAAGCTGGGCCCCTGTGGTATGATCAAGTCTCATAGCATACAGCATCATTAAAACCTTCAGAGAAACATATGAAAAGTAGGCAATCTCCTTTTGTCTTTCAATATCCGCATCTAGAAAAGGCCACAAGAGGGTATCTATGCTACCTTTGTTATTGAAATAGGATGATATTGGCAAGGTAGCTGTTGCACAGCAGCGGGCTATTGTCAGTGGCATTGTTAATGCTGATCAGTAATAGAATAAAAATCATTGCATATGGGAAAGCTGCCAATGCAGGGGAAGAAATAGGGGTCCAAGAGACCATCAGATCTATGTTCAGTGAGGAGGGGAGGGGAGAGGCAGAATGCTTTGGGACAAAGTGTCAGTCCAAGACATCGTTCAAGGCAAACACTAGAAAGCTCTTGTGGAGAGAAACATGCACATTCTGTCTGCAAGCCTGGATGACGACATAGAAACATCCCACATTTCCACGTTCTCCCAACAAAGATGGAGCCTTGCATCCCTGGGGGTCCCTTTGCATCCATTCAGTAATACGGTAACTGTTAGGTACCACGTGGCCAGCATAGAGCAGCGTGACCGTGTGCCTCCACTCGGGGCGGCCAGGGTCTCAGCTTCAGTGCACACACCCTCAGTGCAGGCCCACAGAGCACGTCTCCATGAGGCAGTGAGCCCGAACTGTGCAGCAGAGAAGGCAGTTCGGCAGCTCCAGAGGAGAGAAGGAACTTCTCTAAGTCTAGTCCGAGTTGCTCCCCACAGACTCTGACCATAACATTGCTGCAATGGAAAATGTTCTGGTAAGAAAGCAAGCTGTAAGGGCATAGGTCTTGGGGCAAAGTAGGTTGTCTGGCATGTCAGAAATGAAGGTGGAGAAATGAGACAGACTAGCGCAGGAGCAGCTCTAGAAATTAGCACCCTTCTCATGGCCAAGCCTTAAGATCCCCCCTACTGCTGGCCAGGGCAGTCGGTCGTGTGACGTGCTACGTCCCGGAGTAGCCACTAGCAGTGGCTGGTGTCACTCTTTCCTTTTTAGACAGCACACAGGAGGGATGGGAAGCAAGATTCCACTACTGTGCTTTATTCAAGTTCCGTGTTTTTGTGCAGCTCATGAGCAGACAGCTCTGTCATCAGAGATTTCCAGAGCCTTCTTCAGGTTCTTCTGTGTAGCCGCATGTGCTGGTAAGGTAGAATCATCCGTATTTGGTAGAAGGTTGATTGGATGTGGGGGCAGGAGGGTAGCAGAAGTGAGGGTGTAAGAGTCAATGAATCTGCTAGTTTAAGAGACCAAGTAGATGGTGACAGTGTTCATGATCCCTTTTGAAAATTATTATTTATTTATTTGCATTTTACTTGAAAGCAAAACAGAAACAGAGACAAAGACAGATGGAAATCTTGCATCTGATGGTTCACTATTTCAGTGCCCACAACAGCCAGGACTGGGCCAGGCCAAAACCAGAAGCTGGGAACTCAATCCAGATCTCCCTTGTGGTGGCAGGTGTGGGGAGCAACTCGGACTAGACTAAGTTACTCGAATTAAGACTTACTCTATGCATCTGCTTTCCCACAATATGGCGCTGAGAAGGGAGTAAACAACTTCTACACAGCTGCCTCTCGCCAACTTGAGTGATGACCTGCAGGAGCTGATCCTGCTCCTGATTGGAGGAGAGCAGCGTACTCGGCGTGTGGGTAGCAGAGTTGGGATTGGTGGAAGATGACTATAAAGGAGGAGAGAGACAACATGCACCAGGAACATCTAAGGGGAACACCTGAGGAACATCTGAGCAGCCCCCAAGAGAGCCGGCCGGCGGTGTGCCGCTCCCCCGCGGAAGTGGGGAAAGTGGCAGGGGGAACCGCCCTTCCACGGAGGTGGAAGGGTCGGTAGCCAACCCGGGAAGAACCAGCAGCAAACCCGGGAAGGGCCGAGCAGACAAAAGAACAGCGCAGGGTCCTGTGTCGTTCCTCCGTGAAGAGGGGGAGCGACATAATGGTGCCATGACTCGGATAGGAAACCTAGGCAGTGTTTAGTGTCATTCCTCCACGAAGAGGGGGAGCGACAGCAGGGACCCAAGCTCTTGATCTGTCGCCCATGGCCTCTCAGTGTACGTGAGCAGGAAGCTGGATTGGAAGCAGAGCAGCCAGGATGCTAACCCAGTGATTACAATATGGGATGCAAAACAGCGATTTCCTCTGTGCCAAACACCCACCCGTTATTTCCCTCTCTTTTTTAAAAATTCATTTATTCATTCTGATTAAGAGGCAGAGCAACAGAGAGAGAGAGCGAGCGAGCTAGCTCTTCCATCTGCTGGTTTACACTCCAAATGTTTTCAACTACCAAGGGTGGCCCAGGCCAAAGCCAGGAGCCAGGAACTCCGTCTAGGTCACTCCTGTGGGTACACCTTAGTCGTGATCTGCTTCCTCCCAGGGTGCGTATTAACAGGAAGCTGGATCACAAGTGGAGGTGGAACCTAATGTTAGGCACTCCAATATAATTTGAGAGAACAGTACAATGAACACCTGTATAACTTTCATCTAGATTCAACAACTGTAAATATCTTTAGCCTTTTCTCCCTTACCTTACTGAGCTGTTTAAAATTATTACATTATGATACTTCAACACTAATGAATGTTCTTAGACAAAGGACTTTTTCCTCCATAACCATAGTATCATTATAGATGGATCTGTTAGTTGTTTCCTTATGATTATATCCAGGATGCCAATCAGGATGACTTGGTTTGGTGACATAATTCTCTCCATTATAAATCATAAGTAAACTGATGACAGCTTGACCTTGTAATCTATTATTCAGTAGTTAAAGCATTTGTTGATTATCTTTGCTTGAATCAATTCTTATATTGCTAGGGGCTTACTTTTGACTTAACTGTTCTATAATGATTGCTCCATTGTGGTCCTTAAAGTCAGATATAATTTTTGCTGTTGTTTGTTGTCTGAAAAACTGGAGACAAGGGATATCATCTAATTCTGTGAAAAACATTTCCCATGAAATAGAGCATATGTTAGGAAAATGGCCAAAAAGGCATTGTGCAGCTATTTTTTAGAAATCATCATGTATTTTATAAAATGGATAACTCTTGCACAAGATTTAACATTGTCCATGATGTTCAGCTTTTGTAGTTTGTAGAAGAAACACTGTAATATGTCATTTAACATCATAAAGGAATCTCATGTCTGTCCACTGATAACTCATTGGCAACACACCACAGCTGTTCTGAGGCAGCTCAGAAAAGAAAAAAAATCCACGAGCCAACCAACCATCTGACTTTAATTAGGGAAGAGAACAGTCCCCAAATGTACGAGAATGAGGTCTTTTGCAGGTCAGAGTACTGTACAGAACTTGAAAAGAGGTAATACAAAGACCTGGATGTGAAGGTTAGTTCCTGCTTTGAAGGACTCTGTAACAGGGAGGCTCAGTCCTCAGTGTTCCTGAGACCAAGTCATTCCTTGCTGTGGCTACAGTAAATACTCATCAGGCTCAAAAACGCAGGCTTCGCAATTACTGGAGGCCCTCCAGAAGGAAGGCAGAGACGCCTCTACCTGAGGTGCAGAGGGCTGTGGGCAGAGTACCTTCTCTAGGTGAGGAAGACCCAGATCTCATTTGGGCCATGATGCAGTTAGGACCTTTATTGAGCATCTAAGTAGAGATACGGGGTTGCCAGATACTATATGTGCTCATGTTCAGGGAGGTGCACGGTTGAGAGTTGTTTGCATACAGATGCTGTTTATAGCTGTGACACTGGAAGAGAATCAGCAAGGAGAGGAGAGAACAGAGAAGAGATTAGGGGATCCGCAGATTCAGGCCTGGGGCACTTCAACGCCAGGAGGTTAAGGGACAAAAGAGGACCTGGCAAAGGAAATGGAGAGGCAGCCGTCCATAGGGTGGAAGGCAAGTAAATTGAGCGGTGTCTTGGGGACAAGTGAAGAAATCGTTTTAATGAGAAGGGGGCAATCAACAGTGACAATGTGAGACCTGGTAGGTCAAGTTTGATGGCAATCAAGAACTGGATTTAGCAACATGAAGGTCATCGGGGGTATGGCAAGCGCCGTTTGGTGGGGGCGATGGAGTTTAAATTCCAACCGGATGAAGTTTAAGTGAGGAGAGGAGAGGAACCGGAAGCGGGGACACTGCGTCCTCTTTGCAGGAGTTCTGTGGTCAGGCAGGGGAGGGGAGCAGAGGAAAGACTTGTGTTGGAAGGAAAAGTAAATTTAGTTTTATGTTCTCATTTTTAAAAAGTATTTATTTTATATATTAGAGATAGAGAGAAATTGCCATCTGTTGACCCACTCCCCAAATACCTACAAGAGCTGGGACTGGGCCAGGCTGAAGCCGGGAGCTGGGAACTTAACCCAGATCTGCCCTGTGGGTGGCAGGGACACAGCCTCTTGAGCCCTCACTCCTGCCTCCTGTGCAGAGTCACAGGAAGTTAGAATCTAGAGCGGAGCCAGGACTCAATCCCACGTACTCCAGTATGGGACTTGGATATCTGAAGCAGTATCTTAGCCACGAGGCCAAAGGCCTAACCTTGTGTCCTCATTTTTAAGAAGAGAGAGAGAACAGGAGGATGGCTGTGTGCTGGTGGTAATTACTGAGGGGAAATGACTGATATAAGCAAGTAGAGAGGATTGCCGGAGAGAAGCCTTTGAGTAAGCAGGTGGGGTGAGAGCTGATGCACATGTGAAAGTCGGTCTCGGATGGGAGGAACATTGAGCCAGGACAGGCAGTGGGGAGAGGGAGCAGTGTACAGGGCCCAGATCCAGAAAGGCCGGCAGATGTTGTGCAGTTCACGAGCTGATCTTTCGAGTGCTTCCCTCCCGTTTCCCTGGGAAGTGGGAAACATCAGCTAAGAGTGAAGGCAGAAAGGGAGACGTCAGAGACGTGAGGGGCCACAAATGAGTGAAATATGGGGAGTGTTTCCAACAGTTTATGAAAGACTGGAAGTAAAAGGTAAATTTATGTTAGTGCAGAATAGACTTTGAAAGCCACATATACCTTTTTTTATTTTTTAAACTTTTTTGACAGGCAGAGTGGACAGTGAGAGAGAGAGAGAGAGAGAGAGACAGAGACAGAGACAGAGACAGAGAAAGGTCTTCCTTTACCGTTGGTTCACCCTCCAATGGCTGCTGCGGCCGGCACACCGCGCTGATCCGAAGCCAGGAGCCAGGTGCTTCTCCTGGTCTCCCATGCGGGTGCAGGGCCCAAGCACTTGGGCCATCCTCCACTGCACTCCCGGGCCACAGCAGAGAGCTGGCCTGGAAGAGGGGCAACCGGGACAGAATCTGGCACCCCGACCGGGACTAGAACCCGGGGTGCCGGCGCCGCAGGTGGAGGATTAGCCTAGAGAGCCGCGGTGCCGGCCCACATATACTTTTTAATAGCATGCATTTTCTATGAGTTTTTTGAAGATTTTGATAGTTGTGTATGGGAGAAGAAAGTCTCAGTAAGTTCCCTAAATGAAAAATAGTAGAGGCTAGTGCTGTGGCATAGCAGGTGAAGCCACCGCCTGCAGTGCCAGCATCCCTTATGGGCTCCAGTTCGAGTCCTGGCTGCTCCACTTCCAATCCAGCTCTCTGCTATGGCCGGGGAAAGCAATAGAAGATGGTCCAAATCCTTGGGCCCCTGCACCCACATGGGAGACCCAGAAAAAGCTCCTGGCTCCTGGCTTTGGATTGGCACAGCTCAGGCCATTGTGGCCACCTGGGGAGTGAACCAGCGGATGGAAGACACACACACACTCTCTCTCTCTCTCTCTGCATCTGCCTCTCTGTAACTCTGCCTTTCAAATAAATAAATCTTTAAAAAATAGTACAAGCAATAGTCTCTAGTCACTATGTAATAATTTAATCACAGAATTGAAAAGCTCTTGTAGCCTGAATACTAAGAAATCACTTTTAAATAACTTTGGAGTAAAACAGAAAAAAAAAAAAAACTAATAAATACCCTGAAAATAAAGATGACAAAAAAACTACCTGCCAAGTCTCCGCAGCATTGACCAGGTGGGATTAGTTCAGGAATGTAAAGTGGGTTCAGTTGTAGCATAGCAATTAATTATTCACCATGTTGATAGATTCCAGGATGAAAACCACAAGATCAATCTCATATTATTGGGCATTATATGAAACTCATATATTGGGCATTATATTGTTGGGCATTATATGAAACTCAACATCCATTCAAGTTCCACTCTTTTCTTTTCTTTTTAAAATATGTATTTACTTTATTTGAAAGAGTTATGAAGAGAGAAACATAGAGAGACAGACAGGGGTCTTCCATCCACTGGTTCACTCCTCAAATGGCATTATTGGGTCAGGATTGTGGCATAGCAGGGTAAGCTTCTGCCTGCAATGCTGGCATCCATGTGGACTCCAGCTCAAGCCCCAGTTATTCCACTTCTTATTTTTATTTTATTTATTTATTTATTTATTATTTGACAGGCAGAGTGGACAGTGAGAGAGAGAGACAGAGAGAAAGGTCTTCCTTTGCCGTTGGTTCACTCTCCAATGGCCGCTGCGGCTGGCGCACCGTGCTGATCCAAAGCCAGGAGCCAGGTGCTTCTCCTGGTCTCCCATGGGGTGCAGGGCCCAAGCACTTGGGCCATCCTCCACTGCACTCCCTGGCCACAGCAGAGAGCTGGCCTGGAAGAGGGGCAACCGGGACAGAATCCAGCACCCCGACCGGGACTAGAACCCGGTGTGCTGGTGCCGCTAGGCGGAGGATTAGCCTGTTGAGCCGCGGCGCTGGCTGTTATTCCACTTCTGATCCAGCTCCCTGCAAACACTTTTGGGAAAGCAGAATTGGATGGCCCAACTTTGTCCCTGCCCCTGTGGGGAAGACCTGGATGAAGTTCCAGGCTCCTGGCTTCAGCCAGGCCCAGGCCTAGCCCCTACAATCACATCCATTTGGGGAGTAAACCAACCAATGAAGATCTCTCTGTTTCTTCCTCTCTGTAACTCTGCTTTTCAAATACATAAAAATAAATCTTTAAAAAATTATTATTTGTGGCTGACAGAATTACATACTTGAAAAACCTAAATATATCCCTTAAAAACCTGTTACATACAATAACAGATGACTAGGTACAGAGTTAACAAATAAAACTTTTAAAAACTCTATACTAAAAATCAACAGAAAGTTAAAAATTGTCACTTAAAAAAGTCCATTTTTAGGAGTTACAACAAGTACAACAAACTTTAAATGATATTTATGAAGAAAAGTTTAAAATGTTGTGGAGAAAAAATATTTCAACAAAGAATCAACTAAGTTAGACTTAGTATCCTTAGTATGTTAATTTTTGCTAAGTTAAATTATAAATTTAGCAAATCACAATGTAAGTACTAATACTAATTTTGACAAGACAAGTTGACTCCAAACTTCATGTGAGAAAACATAAACAATTTATCTAGAAAAATTCTGAAAAGAGGAAGCATTGTAGTAAAAGCAGTCCTATCAGATACTAAAATATATCATAAAACTACAAAAATTAGAACAGTTGACTTACAGATAAATAGTAAATAGTAAATCATTATAACAAGACAGGAAGCCTGATGCCAAATTCCATGTAGAAATCTTAGAATCTGTCCATAAAAATACATATAATCCTAAGAAATTTAGGGTCTGATGGAGGTGGTATTTTAAATCATTGGGAAATAGATTATACAATAAATGACATTTGAATAACTGGGTAGTATTCTGTAAAAATATTAAGGTGGATCCATTCCTTATTTCTCACACCAGAATACTTTCCAAAAGTAAATCAGAGATTTAAATGCTAAAAAAAGATGAAACCATAAAAACCCAGAGATTGGGCTGGCGCCGCGGCTCACTAGGCTAATCCTCCGCCTAGCGGCGCCAGCACACCGGGTTCTAGTCCCGGTCGGGGTGCCGGATTCTGTCCCGGTTGCCCCTCTTCCAGGCCAGCTCTCTGCTGTGGCCAGGGAGTGCAGTGAAGGATGGCCCAAGTGCTTGGGCCCTGCACCCCATGGGAGACCAGGAGAAGCACCTGGCTCCTGGCTCCTGCCATCGGATCAGCGCGGTGCGCCGGCCGCAGCACGCTGGCCGCGGCGGCCATTGGAGGGTGAACCAACGGCAAAGGAAGACCTTTCTCTCTGTCTCTCTCTCTCACTGTCCACTCTGCCTGTCAAAATAAATAAATAAATAAATAAATAAATATAAAAAAATAAAAAAAAAACAGAGATTTACTTTTATGTGCATAACTGATGACACTGATTGTCTCTGGGTAGGGCCCCCAGGCATTTGTGTATGTGCAGGAGGGAGTTTTGAACCTAATGAATGCTGAGAAATACAAAAAACAGGGGCTGGCGTTGTGGCTCAGTGGGTCAAGCTGCTGCCTGTGATGTCAGCATCCCATCCTGGAGTGCCAGTTGGAGACCCAGCTGCTCCATTTCTGATCCACCTCCCTGCTAATGAGTCTGGGAAAGCAACAGAAAGATGGCCCAAGTGCCTGTGTCCCTGCCACCCGCATGGGAGACCTGGATGGAGTTCCAGGTTCATGGCTTTGGCCTGGCCAAGTCCCTCCTGCAGTGGATGAAAGATCTCTCTGTTTCTGTCTCCATCTCTCTCTCTTTGTCACTCGGCTTTTCAAATAAAGTAAATCGCAAACATAAAGAAACTAAAAAAAAAAAAAGCAAATAAGGTGAAATGAATTTGAATGTCTTTACATTAGTGAGGTTATTGTGCACAGCAGGCATTCAATAAACGTTTTCCCTTGGGCATGTTGCAGAAGAAAAGTCTTTGTCTCTGGCAATCACTGGGGTTGAGGGGCAGCACGGGGATGAGGGGAGGATGGGGGCCAGAGACCCCGTCACACACTTTCTGACATCCCATACATACTTAACACAGCCTCGGCTCCAAGTAGGGGCTCATTCCCTATTTGCTGAACCAAAAATAAATGGAAAACCATTTTTTGTTGCCTAAAGGCAACAAACAGAATTTCAGCTTCCACAGCACAGTCTGAGCACAGCCCCATTGATTCCTGGACACTGGGCAAGCTCAGCTCTGGACAAGTGCTCTCCCCTTCTCTCCACTCGGAGACCTCACAGGCCCTGTCCTGGGCACAGGCCATACCCTGGGCATACTTCTCCCTACGATCTTGCTCTGTGTGCACTAAAGCCCTCCCCTCCCCTGTCAGACACAGGCAGAACAACCTGCTGCACTTGGAAGAGACAGGGGCCGAAGGTGTTTTCAAAGACTTGTGTGTGGGAGGGAATGGGGCCCTGGGGTGCCAGGGCCAGGTTCCATCGCTGCTCCGACACACTTTGGCTGTGCATTTCTCCCCTGTAAACAGGAATCAGGAAAACAAATTGTCCTGTGGATGTCAGCTACTGCTGCTGCGTGTGAAGCAAAATGCATTTTTTCCTCCCTGCCTTTCACCTTATTTCCATTTCTGTTCCTGCAACCTTCATGCCTTTACCTTTTCCACGGAACTTTCCTGTTTCCCACAAATTCAGACTTTTGTCCCATTTTCAAAGCTGGAAGATAGCAGGTCTGAGAAATCAAGAAGGGAGCCCAGGGGACCCTTTACTGCTAGTTTGGGCACTTCTTCTGAGGTTCAGCTGCTTAGGGTTTGGACCTTGTAAAAATTCATTCTTATTTGAAAGGAGGGGAGAGAGAGAGAGAGAGAGAGAGAGA